TTATAAACAACACATACCAAGGCAGAATTATTACTCACAAAGTTTAATCTGTGGAGAATTGACTGGTGCCTTTATTTCTGGATTTCTCAGAGTCTCTCACCCATTTTCACTCCATTGTCACTGTGCAGATTTCCTAAGGCACGCGAGCTTCCACCTGGGGCTTTCTTCGCCCCCCATCTGTAACTCCAGACATTTAGTGATGGCAGCAGGCTGGCAGGCAACAACTGTAACCTTTGTGTTTATAGCCATAAAAACACCACAATGTCAAGAAGCACCTCTTTTTTTCCTGTTATTTGTTTTTAATTTTATTTGCATTTAAAAATAAGGTCAGGGTAAATTAAATTCAAGAACTGCATCAGGCTTATTAAGTTAATGATTATTCATGTCAAATTATCACCATAATGTCAAACAAAGTAATCTTTAGCAGACTTATGACCAATGAAAAATTATGTCTGGCCTCCAAAACAGCTCACACTAATTTCAAAGTATATTTGATATTATTTGTGGTAGTCTTCATGTTCCTCCAGGTAATTTCTTGTTTTACTTTGAAGTTTAGTTGTTTAGATGTGCCTTATTTTGGTTTTAATTCATGCATTTGTTCTTTTCCCTCTTTTGTGATTGTCATTACTTTCACCTGTTTGATTGCATCCACCTGTGTCCTGTTCCCACCTGTCTCTTAACATCATTCACCCTTGTGTACTTTTATAAACCTGGCTTTCCCTTTAACTTTGCCACATTTTCTACCGGCTTCCTGTACCTATTTTTTGGACTTCTTTTTAGCTGTTGGACTTTCTGTATTTTTAGATTCTTGTATTAACTACTTTTTTCTCTTTTTGTTTTTTTCGCTACCCCGTGCCATGCACTTGAGTCCAAAATCAAAACTTCCTTAACACAAAAATTTCTCTAAGAATCAGTGACATTGCATAAATACTTATACTGTAGCTGCAGTGTTTGTCCAGATGCTTACCAAAGCTTTGGTGTTATCAGCTCTCCTCATGTCCCATGCCTAGCTGTGATCTTGTTAGATCAGCTGCTCTCAATGCCAGCTAACATAAGCTCATGGCTCAGCTGATAGGTTTCACTGCATCCCATTGACAAATCTAACATAAGACGTGCTATTTGCACTGCTTTGCTATGCCCATAGGTGCTGGTTCTTCTGCAAGCTACTTTGAAACCCACCTCCAACCACTCATCACTAAATCACCAAATACAAATGACTGCAGATAGAAATAGCAGTCATCTTATAAATATAGTAATCTTTAATGAAATATATTTTGCTTGCATCATAACTTTGCCATAATATGTACAACAGCTTTTATATACTTCCAGTTTTCTTCTCCATTTCTATTTCTTTCTTCAATTTTTTGTGTTTTCGATTATGTGCAATTTCTTTTGTTTTAAAAAATTATGTGCAATTAGTGGCACTAAATGTACCATAAACTTGGAATACAACTTATAACCTAAATACGCAAGGAGGTTTTTTGTTCAGAATCAATGGGCAGTGCCTTTGGCCAGGTTGGATGTGGATGCAGGCATTGGGCCAGGCAGGCTGGAGCAGCCAGAAGCTTGTACTGCTTTGTTATGGTTTGTTAGCTGTGTGGGACTGTTTGCTTTGTATGGGTCTAATGTGCAATAACGCAGCTCTAAAAGGGGATGTGTATTAGAGCAGGAGGTAAGCAGAAACAGATTCATTGTTTCCTGGAAGTAGGGTGAATGATGATGGAGGTGAAAATACTGGAGCAGAGCTGTCTGAGAATAGAGAGATTGTTCTTTTTGTCTGTTGTCCTACAAAAATAAAAAATAAAAAAGACAAATACATCAGAGTCTGCAGACTGAAAAATGGACGCCTTTATAGGTCCTCAGCAGTTTCAAATGGTGCCCATTAGAGCTGGATTGGACTGGTTGGTGAAGAGGGTAGTACACACTGCTGTATGAAAACCAACCATTACTGAGAAAAAAGACTTTTTTTGGGGGGACTATAATCGAACTCACAATGGCTGATGCTTTAGGCACTCAAATAGCCAAATTTTCTTATTTTCAGCACAGTACAACAAGCTGTGCTTATGTGTTACAGACATAGGAGTAATGCTTACTGAAAATGAACCTCTACTTAGATATTCAAGAGAAATAAATAAAATAAATGATCTAAATGATTCCAATATTCATTCAATTAAAACATTTCAGATATATTAATTGTATTAGAGCGCTTCATGCCCCCCACAGGCAGTGTTTTAACATACACCCAAGGATGTTTAGCAGTTTGTTTGTTTTTTTTATCCATCAACTTGACTTCATTTTGTTTTAAACTGCTCAGTAGCTAGCCCAAGCCTAACACTGGTTTACATTACACTGACCAGGTCACTGTTGTGGTGATTACCTGAGAGTCTCATTCTGTAGTGTGGACTGCAGCCGGTAACAGGAGTCCTTGTTGTGATTCTGTAGGAAATCCTGAAATAAATGCGGTTATTTTTCAAAAACAATTATTCCAAACCTTCAAAATGTAGTGCAAGTCTGGCCACACAGTTTACGTTAGCTAGATGAATATATAGGGTAACTGAAACTGTGTTACTTTAGTGTTTAATGAGCACATGTGCTACCGTCAACATGAATGATGGCATGTTAGTGAATTGTATTACATTATTAAATAACATTTTTTTATTTTATTTTAAATTTATCACTGCATATTTGTTTTTCTTTTCTCACTTCTACCATCTGTAACCTTTGAAGCACTTTAACCCTATAATGCCCGTTGTATCATATTTGATATGAGTTTCTGAGACCTCTAGCTCATCAACATGATCAATACTTGACATAATTTCAAAATGTTATAGACAAAACTAAAATTAACACTGTTGTTAACAAAAAGTTGCAAAAAATGCCCAATGTATTCTATGCGATACAGAAAATATATAATAAATATACAATAAAAATATATCATACACAACATGATAAAGCAAAATAAATTGTGGATTTTGTTATAAGGGTTAATAAACATCTCAGTTCCAAAAAAATCTGAATTTTCTGGCTAGTTTTTTGAAGGGTTGGGTCTTTCAGGGTTAAACTGGAAAAAAAAGTTGCTGAGCGATTATAGGTTTGATTGATATTTGTAATTAGACCTCGAGTCATGAGAACTCTACTTTGGAAATAAGTTGAGACAAAAGGCACTTTAATGTGACTTTTGTTTGAAAAATCAGTACGAGGGAGCTGCTTTTGTCTCCCAGCAGATACTCAGTATTTGGCTGTTCATCAACAGATGCAGCGAAACACTGTGTGCTGCATGTGGTGTTATTGCGACCTGTTTGTCAAAATACCACTTTAAAAAAAAAAGTGCTGACACACTGCTTTGCTGTATCTGTCAGGTGCTGTTAGTACTGTTATTTGTCTCAGATGTCTTGTTCTGTGTCTGCACATTCATCATTTTATTTCAATTTCAGAGGCTCTGTGAGTTTAGTCCAGTGCCTCTAAATTGAAATTAAATTGTAGACTGGTAAGCATATTTGATCAGTTTTTTCATCTCTGATCATTAACCTCTTCTCGCCTTTGCAGGTTTGTCGCTCAGAATACAATGCGTCTGCAGAAACTTGGTGTGACACACGTCTTAAATGTAGCAGAGGGCACCTCCTTCATGCATGTCAACACCAGTGCGGATTTCTACGCTGGCACGGGCATCACCTATCATGGCATCCAGGCCAATGACACAGAGCAGTTCGACCTCAGTGCCTTCTTTGAGGAAGGGGCTGATTTTATCGACAAGGCCCTAGCGCACAATAATGGCAAAGGTGGGGTTATTTTGTCGTTTATGTTTTATCTATTGGACTAAGGAGGTAAATGTTAACTCTTGAAATACATGTATTCATTTTTAGTAGAATATTAAAATAATGGCCACCAAACTTTTGTGTGCAAGTGATCTACCACTTAGCAACAAGTGTACAAAGTGGTAGGACATCCTAACACTTTGCACATATAACGTTGTTGACATTTTTTGCTTGATTTGTAAAAGGGGGAAAAAAAAAAAAGGACAGACTGTGGGATGTTTTTCTTACTTATGCTTATGTGCATTAAACTGTGGACTACAAGCTGTCCAGAGACCAAAGAACTTCCCGTTACAGTCTTGTGTAGCAAAGAAAAGCACCAAATTCTGTTAAATAGCTTTTTGCCAAATTTGTAGTTGGTTTCTTGAGAAAGCACAAAAATAATACATCATTTCTACATTCTTCAGACTATTTTTATTTAGTGAGGTCCTAAAAAGTTGTTCAGGAGCCATAACTAGAGATAACACCCACTCAATGTTTGAAAAAGCCCATTGTTTTCCCTCTATTGACTATATATGGTGCTAGGAAGTCTGTATGCTTATATATGCACAGGTAGAGAATAGATTGATTGACTATATTACATTACATCAGTATTAGTATGTGTTAGTACCCCAGAACTTGGGTAAAACTAGCACCTAAATATATCCAGCACCTCAAAGAAATGTATCCCTTATGCTGGATATTTATATTTATTTAACAAATGGGAGTAATTTGCTCCAAAAGTTGAGACATGAAAACAAGTTCCTCTTGTTGTTTGTCTAACAAGATCCAGTCTTAGTTCCAGTCTTAGTACTCCTCATTGTTGTGGATCTTAAAGCAACAACAGGAGATAATCACAGTGGCCCTGAACACCTCTCGCTAAATCTGACACACTCATGAGTCCTACTCCATATTCCATTACCCGATCACATCCCTGCACATCAGCATCGTCACAATGTTTGATGTGTAGCACACCTGTAAGATGTTAAACGGGTGCTGTAATACTTTGGGACTGTGTAAAAGAACAGAACAAGTACTGCAGTAAAAAGTTGTAAGAAAGGGGAAGATACAGAAATCACTAGGGAACTGAGTCTTGACTTTCATACAACTTCTAGGTCAGGCATACTATACACCATTTCAGGTGTGCAAACTTTGAATTTTGAATAGTACGAATCAAAAAGCAGCTGTTTCAAATCTGAAACTGAGCATCTTAATTCCCCGAATGTTTTTTGTCACTACAGTGCTGTGGTAAATCAAGAATGAAGAGCTCCTGTGGAGAAGAGCGCATAAGAGATTTAGCATGTCTCATCTCTGCTTGGTGGTTTTGCCGCAGTTTGACATTTGTGCATTGTGCCACATTAAGTGTGACATTTTGTGACCCTCAGCTGTAAGCTTGGAAAAAGTCCAAGGTCCAGGATTTTAATGAGGAACTGCACTAATGCATTGCTCCTGTGAGTTTTCCATAATGAAGACACAAGGTTACAGTGTGCAGATCTGTGTATTTTCCTCCAATCAACAGAAAATCAACACATTAAAACTGCAATGATAAGGGTGGAGGGTGCTGCTCCGTCTGCGTAAGCAGCCATTGAGACTGTATTGGACATGCCTCCTTGCTTTGATTGGTTGTTTTTAATTTGGGTGTGGTAGTTTCTTGCAGATCACGTTTGAAGCACTGAGGGGAGCCTTAAGAGCCTGATGCTTTTTTTTTTCAGTGGCTCATGCAATGCAATGAAAATGTGTTGCTGCACCGAGCAAGTGGCAGGACATAGTTTAGGAGCTTTTTTTGAACACCATAGTTTAACAAATTTGGAGTGTGTTGCCAATAAAAAGGAGGCATCCTGCTGGAAAAACTTTTAAAAATTCTGCCTAATCGTTCTGTCCTCTGCAGCTCCATCAAACAGTACGCTGAACCTTTAAGGTCAAAATGATGGAATGAATACATGCCCATACTTTTGCACCATGCATGAATCAAGTGCCTGGATCCAGAAGGTTAGCTCAATCTGAATTAGTTTATATTTTCCTAAGAGCATCGGGATGAGTTTTTCTCATTTTAGTTTGATTTTTGAAGATATGCAAAATGTGGAAGTTTCTTCCCACGTCAAAATTCCTAGCTCCTGATATGATTTCAGATCAACTCCAGGAGTTGATCATTTCTTATTTGGGCCCTGAGAAATTGGTAGGCACATTTTTCCATAGAGCTGAGCATTGTCACTACAAACATAAAATTACTCTCATAAGTGGTGGAGGCATGTGTGGATTAATATACTGTGCATGTCCTCGTGGGGAACATGCACAGTTCCCCATGAGGAGCATTAACGTAAATATTTTTTTAATGTTGTAGTGAAGGGAACATGATTAGAAAACTGTTTAAATATTTTGTAATTAAATCGTATGTTGTTTCTGTAGATCCAGTGCCAACTGTCAATATGGTGGATGAATAGTATACAAATAGACAAAGAAGGGGAGAAAGGGTCAGTCAGGGGGTGTAAAGTGTACATAGCTGTGCCAGTGCTGCAGTTCGGACTGGATGCTAATGCTGCTAGCTTGGTCTACAGGAGGACCGCAGCATTGAGAGAACGATGCTGACTGCACCCACTGACAACTCCTGTTGAGGAAAAGAGTGCCCAACAGTGGATAGAATTTAATGTTTTTCCAACAAATGCAGATAAGACTATTAAGTCTAATAAAACAATAAAATACAAGACACAGTAAAGACTGAGGGATATTGGAGCTGGACAGTGATGGAGCAAGTGAGTTGAGAGCCAAAGAGTGTGTGTGTCTAACAAGAGGATACAGTGGAATTAGAATTGATCTGTGGCAGACATGGTGATTTGGTATTGAAGAGGTCACGTCATTGGCATGGAAGTGTTCCCGGTCGAGTGTGAGAGAGGAGCCAGTCAAAGAAAAAGGAGAGAAGAGGGAGAGAAAGATGTTGGGGATAAAACTATAGTAGAGACAGAGAGAGGTGTTGGGTTTCAAATAAAGTGCAGAATCTGCAGATCTGACCTGAGCCGAGCACATCAGCTGCTCTGTGAAGGTTGCCAAGTTAAATCCCCTGTGGCGTTTTAGCCAGTCTGTAATGGAAGTGTAAGTTAGACAAAGGTACACCTTAAAAATGAACACAAACACACAAACTGGCATGAACATAAAAATACAGAACAGTAAACACAGATGTATTTTGCACACACAAAGACGACATTGATTCTTTGCTGTGGTCGGGATGTGGGTTCACCTCAGCTGGTGGAAGATGATTGACTTTGCTGAGTCTGCAGCAAAGGTCATGTCTTATATATGCAGCTTCTAGAAGAGAAGCTGCTTTGCTGGACAATCTTGGTCACAGCATATGTTTTCCAACTACTCTAACAATCTCTTATTTTCTATTTATTTGTTTCTGCTTCATTTCCTCATTTTCTTCCACCTCCTACTTTTTGTCCTGCAGTCTCAAAATTACCACGAGGGAAAACTCCTGTTTGTGCTCTGGTGCTTTAAGGACACTGTATACTTGATACGAACCTGAAAAATCATGTTTTATTTCTGTGTTGAATGTTCACCTATCTTAATTTAATGCCCCACATGTGAGAAATAAAAAGAAATAGACACAATATATTTGATTTGATTAATGATTTGCATTAAAGGGGACTTTTTGTGTTAATTTCAAACTCCAAATGTGTATTCTTGGACTCGACTAGAGTAGCTTTGCATGATTCATGGTTTATTTTAATCCTTACTTATCTTGTGGTGGCCCTTTGTACTGACGTTTACTTCATTCTCTACCTGAATAACTATTTTGCCTCCTTTCTGAAAAGCCAGCTTTTTTTTTTGATTGGCTGTTCTTCACAAACTATATGTTTAAACAGTTAATGGGAGGGGCTTAATTTGTCACAGTCTGTGCCTACGGTGGCCATATAAGGGATAGCCACTCTAATATATTTGGATTAATTAATAACTCAAGTGCACAGCTTTCTCTTAAATCTCAAACTCACTTGCTGTTTAGTTTAGCTCAAGCAAAGATGGCTAAAAGAGTTTTCAGTCAAAAAGATCTATCTAGAGGAAGTTCAAAGAAATCCCAATCAAGACAATATACACAGATCAGTAAGTCCATGACTTCACGAATAATTGTCATAATTGTGATCATAGTTTTTGTGGCAGTCAAGCAGCCTTCTGTAACAGCTGGTCATTGTTCATGAATAAAGATAGCCAGGGCAATCCGACAAGTTTCATTTATATGCTTCTTCCAGTGTCATACCGGGAACAGATATTTTTGACGCTCTTACAGAGTGACAATTACAGGATGTACTAGTTTATGCTTTTTCCTGTGCAGTGGATAACAGATAGCAGAGGAGCCACAATGAGGCCTGAGAAAACTCTTCTATGAAAACTATTTCTCTGTGGTGTGTGTGTGTGTGTGTGTGAAACCAGCCTCGCACCATAAACAGCTTTCATCTTATTGTTCTCTGTGTCCTCCAGGGAAGGTGTATGTACACTGCAGAGAAGGCTACAGCCGCTCCCCCACCATGGTTGTTGCTTACCTCATGCTGCGCCACAGAATGGATGCACGGCTGGCGGTGGCCACTGTGCGGCACAAGAGAGAGATCGGTCCTAACGACGGCTTCCTTCGCCAACTGTGCCAACTCAACGAGAAGCTGGCAAAGGAGGGCAAGCTGAACGGGGACCTGGGCAAATTAAAGGCCAAGTGAAAGCTGGAGAGGTGCTGCCCGTCTCCTCCGGCCCTGCCTTTGACTGGCTGCAGCTGCTCTGGTAGACTGACCCCACCCTGACCAAACCAGCACTCATCTAACACATCAGGGGTATTCTGAAGCATACATGCATTTATCTGTGGAATTATTCCTCGTGTTCACACACACTTGCACATGTACATGCTGTTCTGTTTGAATCTTTAGTCCATGTCTCTCACTGCTGTTCTACAAAGAGTGTGATCTCAAAAAAAAACCCATCCCCCTTTTTATAACTCCACACAGATTTTGCTGCTCATACCCTAAAGCTCTGAATTCCTCTCATTTCTGAGCTACTTAAAGCATTCCTTCAATTCCCACAACTTAGAAATTTGATATCTTTGCCCTGATTTTAAAATTTTACTTACAAACTTGTAGGAAATAGAAGATTATAGCACAATCATTCCATAGTTTACCACTGCCGGGAATGTCAGTGATGTCTCCGCCAGTAGGAGTACTCTAAATAATTCCAAATAAACTCCTAAATATTGAAAGTTGATGGCCACAAATGATGCAACACAGAGTGGATGAAGGAAAATCCCACATTCCATTAAATCTTAAAAAAAAACAAAAACAATGACGCCCAGTCGATTCCTAAAAATCCTTAATTCTTCCCTTTGGGAGAAAGATTTAATGCACAAACACAGATGACTCACACTCTAATGCACCCTAATACACAATGTAGCATTTCAGTTAACAGACTCAGGCCTCTTGTTTGACAGCGGTAGCATGAAATTTATCTGCAGCGCAAACGGTTGTCGACAGAGCCGCCGCTGCTGAGAACAGGAAAAGGTCGAGCCAATTAAAAATAATGAGCTGCGTGAGGCGTTCACGTAGCAGCCATATTTAGCCTCTGATATGATGAGTGTTCACTGCAGCTGGATAGTAGCTCAGTACAGTAGATGCAGAAATCTGAGGAGAACGCTGGATCAAATATCTGCTTAAAAACACGAAATGCTTTGCCTTCAATTTGAAATGAGCTTATTGTCATTCCCAGTAATGGGCACATGTGAGTGGTTTTAAAGTATGTTTGTAGCCAGAGGACGGCTTTTCTTTTCTTTTTTTTAATAACATTTTTATTAAAAATAAGTTTAGGTTTGATAATCTTCAAATTTGTGAGACTGCAACAGCATGTTAGGGTCACTAAAGGTTAACAAAAAATAAAATTGAGGCTAATGTGACAAATTTACAAGAAAAAAACTTGTATCTGCCTTTGTTTCTCATGAATTTGTATGTTTTTGTAAAATAATAAATTGTCCTTTTTTCCTGAATTTATGAATATGATTATAATCTTGAAGATTTTGGACTTTTTCTCAGATTGTAAACATCCTTACCAAGCCCCTTACACACTCGCAGTAGCCCTAATACACTGTTGCTAAATGTTCTTAAAATACCATAATCGGTATGTTGTTTGTCAGTAACTCTTGCTTTGTCTTTCAGCACATTGCTTGCCTTTAAAAAATAGTTTACAAAGTGCTTTGACACAATACATATTAAAGTCACATACAAAGAAACGGGCGATAAGCAAAACGATGACCAGAAGGGAATCCAGTTATGGAATCACACTAAAGCCAAAGTATAAAAATGTGTTTTAAGAAGTGATTCACTGCAGGTTGCATAATTTTCATGTATTGTTACATGTTAAGTCATCATCATGATCTCAATATGGAGAAAATAACTAACTGGGATTATGATTTTTTCCGAAACCCAGCAGCACGACCTCTTGTTCTTAGAGGAAAATCGTAACTTGCTTATCTTTATCAACAAGGCTAAAATACTCCCAAACAATTTACTAGTTATAGTTACTGAGCTGAAACGATAATTTCCCCTGTAGAGACTGCCCTCCGGTGGTGTTTCTCTGCATTACACATCAAGGCATGACCTCATTTCTGCACCTGTATCAGGAGCTTCAATTTTTTTGATAATATTTTTCTGGATAATATATAGGTAACACACAAGGCTGTTGCATGTGAATGTAGGTTCTTCAGTTAAAGATGGCAAAATAGTTACTGTTGCACTTTGGGTTTGAGAAAGTGGGTTATGAATATTCTGCTCAGAGGTGTTTAAGATGTTGTTGTTTACTCTGCCACCTTCAAACTAGGGGCCTGTTGTTTTAACTGTCAAATGCCTCAGCCAGATGGGATGCCACCCGCTTTCAACAGAAAGATCCAGCCATCACGCCACCAGAGAGTTGCACACTGCCAATTCCCTGACACAACCATTCACTCAGAATCCCAAAACCACTGTTTCATCCACACAGAGGTCCCCACACAACATGTCACTTATCTCACCTCTAAATGTGTGTGTCATACGCTAACTAATACACACACAGGGTCAAATTAGATCACAACGCCTTTTTTTGTTGTTTTTTGTTTTGTTTTGTGTGCACTAAAGCATTGCAATATATGTCAATACCCCATCCGATATATAGAATGTAATCACATTTATATGACTAACAAGGCAGTAGCTGTTACATATAGGCAACTTTAGTTCAGCAGTACATTTTGTATTTAATACTGGGCATAATACTGTAAACTAGACCTAGTGCCAGGAAGGATGGCGATGGAGTGAATTCTTGCACCACATGAGTCCTCAAGTTAGAGAAGTCGCACGAGCGAGATCAGACTCGTGAACTAAATGTCATGTTGGCAGGATTGTTGTCATGCAAGAGAGGAAGAGGAAAACTAGGTTCTCACCTCATTAATGGCACTATTTATTCCTCCTTTGATATATCTGTATACATTTAAATATATACATGTATACTGTATATACATATTTAAGTGTTGACATATATGAATGTATGAGCAATGTGTCTATAACGTGTAGGTAATGTCAGTATCGTCTTTATATAACATGTTCTACTTGTATGTAGCGCTTTCATTCTTTCTGTTAATTACATGCACATTAATATTTGGATATGATGTGCATGTAAATTGTTCTGTGTAATTGTGGTAGTTCATATCGCAATTGTGCAAAACGTGCTTATGATGGCAGGGTTTTTTTTTTTTCCTGGTGTAGCCAGGATACTGGGGCATGTAATCATTGTATCTAAGTAGCGTTTTGTACAGCGTAACGTCTTCATATCAGTGCAAATGGATTCATTAAATACAGCAAGATGCAGGTGGCATCATTAGACGCAAGTGACCATCCAAAGATGGACTCATCCCATCACCCATTTCATTTGGCATTATTTCCATCTCTCGCTTTTGATGCTTTAGGATCGATATATGGGTTTGTTTGGATGAGAGTGTTAGTGAGAGGAATATTTTTAGGTGAAAGGAAATAACAGGATCACGTCTGGTGTCACTCAAACCACTCGTGCTTATGGAATGAAAAAAGAAAGAAAATGGAAAAAATATTGCATAAAAGATCCATGTCCAGAAACTAAAGGGAGGTTTTGAAAAGTGACAAAAGGCATTTAATATAAAACTAAAGATCCACCTTGAGTGGCTGGACTTGGATATTTTATGGTCCTAGTTTTTCAGCCGTTCAGACCTTGCAGATCTGTAGTCTTGTTGCTCTCTCCTCTTACGTAAAGCGAGCACAAAGCAGTCAAGCAAAGTGCACCATTTAATAAGTCAGCTTTTACATTTATATTTTTCTTTATAATTGTAGGTACATTAAGCAGATCAAGATTAAAGTCTCACATTAAATGTTCATATTTCAAAGCAAGCAGTGGAAGTCTACCCAAATTAATCACTTACTTGTTTGAAAATGAAATTTTCAAGAAAGTATTTGACGTCTCCAGCACATTTTTTATGTCTTAAAGTAAAATATCTTCTGCTGTTGGACTGTTAATGATAATTTGGCTCTGGGAAATTACAAAGTTCAGTTTTCACTGTTTTTTCAGAGGTTTTATTGACCAAATAACCTATTGATCAATCAGGAGAACAATTCTCAGATTGATTAATAATGAGGAAAAAGCACCTTCCTGCTCCATGTAGTGCAAGTAAAGAGTACATGAGTCTACAAATATACAGCCAGCAGAGACATTTTAAAGGCCATGTGTTTGTGCTGATTCCAAAACATACACTGAAATGTCCAGTGCTGCTGTGGCCTCTGACTCATTATTGGCCAGGAGGAAAAGTCAGAGAAGGTAATGTTCTCACAGGGAGTTAAAACCGAGGACAAATCCTGCAGAGCGAGAACATAAGTGCGCTTGTGATTGCGGTTCATGCGCAGGTTGTTCCAGTTGACTCTGAGCCCTCTCATTTGGCCATTTTTATACATGTGAAAATGTTTTAAGCAAAGCATTTGACTTCACATCTTGCAAACGCTGCTTCCTCTTGTGGCAAGATAAATCGGGTGCAGTAGTTCAAATTCCCGACCTTTAAGTATAATTTAGTAAATGCGTCATACCACTCATTCCCATCACCTCATCATGAACCCCACACCACCATTATTGTCAATGAAAAGGTAGTACAGATATACGGCTATATTATGTGTTTAAATTGTCAGTTCCAAGCGACATACGCGACAAAAACAATTTATATTATAGATAATTGGCTTTGCCATCATTCAGATGGCCTGGGGTTTCACTCATGCAACTGTTTGGATCTGCTCTATAATACTGCCCTCCTTCTGAATACACAAAAAGCAACAACAAGACACGGTTTGGTACCTCTTTAAATTTGGGAATTGGTATAAATGTCCTCAGCTCATTCCAGGATGAGGGTACGTACTTTAAAGCATCAACTGCCTACACCGACCTGCTTATCGGGTAACTCATGGAGGGTTTTCAAAGCACTCTGTGGTTGCCCAAACTGATTTTCTGATGCAACTGAAATGACTTTTTGGATGCAATGATGTGAACAGAGAGTTTTTATCATGGCAACACTGCTGGCTTAAACACTGTTCTGTAAAAGAAAAAAACACTGCCACCTGCTTGTTCAACAAATCTACTGGTTTGCACACCAATTTTAATTATTTAAAGTGGACCTATTATGCATATGTATTTTTACATTTTTTTAGTACTATAACAATGATGCATGCTCATTTTACAACTTACAGTTAGGGAGCTAAAATGGCTCAGTGCAAACAGAAGACAAATGGAGGGGCTGCATCGAGGCTCAGTATGAAATAAATATGGACTGTTTTGAATGAGAATTATGCAAAGCTAATCTACTAAATTTAGATTGTATTTATATAGCTACAGTTCACAGCAACAATTCTCTTGAGGTACTTTATATATTAAGATGAATATTGGCTGCAATATTAGTGAGAGAGCCTCAACATTGAGCAGCAGCAATTGTGGGGAGAAAGAACTCCCTTTTAATAGGAAGAAACTGGCTCGTGGGGGGGAAGAGAGAAAACAGAACAAAACACAAAAGACAAAATCAAAATTAAAGTCATGCAGTTGTGGCGTGGAGACACAAAGGACGTCGTTAAGGGTCACCTTATTCAATGCCAATTATCTTTCTCCAAAAGGAAACTTTGAAGAGAGGTCCTCTGTCTCCTGAATCCAATGTGCAGGTTCCTTAGCTGAATGGCTCCCATTCAACTTTTAGAAACTTTAGGGACCACAAATAACTGGGGATTTATGCTTCATCTTATCTGCAAATAATTCTGAAACCCTATGACATAACCTACACCCTAACCCTAAAAATGAGGCCACAAGTCCCATAAACATGGCCCACAACTACCACGATTGGCCTGTCCAGTACTGTTGCCACTCAGCCGTAAAACGCTGATGGGATATTGTCATCACCCTGCCAGGCAGGCGGTGTGGACACCCAAGTTTGTGAATGTAATAAGTTGAGAAAAAGGCAACCTAGGAGTTTCAAATTGATACCATAGATGTATCTGTTAAAAGTGTCAGACAAATTTAAATCTCAGTGATCTCAACCCTAAGATCAAGGTCAGAGGTGAAGTTTTCTGAAAATCTTCTAAATCCGATAACTCAAAAAGGACGTCCAAGTATTTTGAAACTGATGCCACAGGTGCATCTGTATTTTAAAATTTGTCATTAAGAGAATAATAACCATTGCCTCAATATAAGGAATAATAATCATAGTATCAATATAAGGGCAAATATCAGCAAATTCCTGAAGGGGTACTGCCAAACCTGTTGGAATGGACATGAGGGAATGTACAGAGAAGTGGAAAAACTTGAGGGATAAATATGTTTGCCTTTGAAGAGAAAAAATACTGACCACAACAAAGAGTAGTGATGCCAGGAGGGAAA